AAACTACAAGATAATAATTAGCAGACCAAAGCTCGGCATTTTTGGCTCAAAAATCGATTTCAAGCTCATTTTTTTTGTCAAGAATGTGTCAAAATGCATCGGAAACCCAATAAATCAAACTTTCCGGGTTACTGTAGCTCGAAAAGTACGCAAACACCGAGCCGGAAACCTCTAGTTTTCGACTTTTCAAACTGAAAATTTTTGAGATTCTGTAATTTTTCAGCCATCATACCTTTTTTCAGATCCACGTGGTCTTCATTCTCACGTCTTCTGGATCTCATCGCGACGCATCCATGGTCTGCACGCCCGCTATTCGTCGATTTCGGCCTAAAATCGTGGTCCGAAGAGGAACGATCGAAATTAGAGGAGAAATTTGTCAAAATGCGCCCAATTCTGCCGCCAATGGTTGTGATTCACGAAGAAGATCATCAGGGAATGAAATTCACACGAGAGAATCCATCTGGAATCGTCCTGAATCGCCTGGTAGCCGTGGCGAAGGATGCGTTGAAATTGGTGGAAAAACAGACGACTGGAGAGAAATCCATTGATTTGGAGGTGAGGATTTTCAATTTTTGGGTCTGCTGATTATTTTGTGTGTAGTTTGTAGTCGTTTTTCTAAATACAAAATTCGATTTTTCAGACATCCCTTCTCACTGAAAACCTCTCTCCATACGACGCCGTCATTCATCTGGAGCCTCCTGCCGTCGTTCGGAAGAAGGCGCTTCTAGAGCGACGACCGATTCCAGAAAATCCAAAATTCCAGCCGAAAATTCCAGTTGTCGAGTTGGATCCAGTCGATGAGCTGGTTTATCAACTGAATAACAATTTCCACGCGGTAAGCTTTTTTTTTGGGTCTGCTAATGTTTTTTCGTAGTTTGTAGTCTAGCATACCCATGTTTTCGCCTCGTTTTACTCTTATATGGGTCTGCTAATGTTTTTTTATAGTTTGTAGTCTAGCAGACCCACATTTTTACCTCGTTGTTATTCTCATGTGGGTCTGCTAATGTTTTGATATGTAGTTTTTAGTCTAACGCACCATCCTATAGGTTGGGCCTGCTAATGTTTGTTTGTAGTTTGTAGTCTAGCATACCCATATTTTCATCTCGTTTTACTCTTATAATGGTCTACTAATGTTCAGCTTGCTGTTTGTAGTCTAACGCGCTTTCCCTTTGGTTGGGTCTGCTAATGTTCCACGTGTAGTTTGTAGCAGACCAAAAAACCAAAATCTAGGCTTCCAAATTTCGCATTTTCCAGGTAGCAATGTTCTTCTACAACAAATACGGTGGTCACAATATCGGAGTGATGTTCAAACCGCAAGAAGAAGAAGTCCCAGCGAAAATCTCTCGTTGCTCACTTCACAAATCCATCTCAGACACCGTACTCCGTCTGAATCGTGCCGAAATTCTCGAGAATATTCAGATTATGGGAGAAGGCGTCGTGGCTGACGTGGAATTGAAAAAGGCGTAGAGGAGATAATCTGTTGATTTTTTTGTTAATTTTTTTCTTCAATTGGTTCTTGTTGTTGTTGTTATTGTTAAAATTAAGCATTTTTTATTAATTTTCGGAATCAGAAATTTCGTTTTTTAGTATATAAATAAGTCTAAAATGCCAAAAAATCGATAAAAATAATGGTCTGCTAATGTTTGAAGTGTAATTTGTAGTCTAGCAGGCCAATTCTAACAGTTATGGCCTGCTAGGCTACAAACTACAAAACTCATAGCAGACCAATTTTCTTTTATTTTCTGAAATTCATAATCTCAAAACTCCGAAAAAGAAGAAAAAATTGGTCTGTTATTATGCTTGTCTGAGAAAAAAGAAGGGTGAGACGCAGAGAAATAGTGTCTGCGTCTCCACTTAATATGTGCTATTTAGGCTCTTTGCTTCGATATCGCTACCGTATTCAGACTGCAAAAAATACTCTCTAACCTTTTTTTTCTCAGACAAGCATAATAATTATTTTGTTGTAGTTTGTAGTCTAGCAGGCCCAAACCTTGCCTCGCACGTGGCAAAATGGGTCTGCTAATGTTTTTAAGTGCAGTTTGTAGTGAAAAATGTTTATTTAAAAAACAGCAAAAAATTAGATCCTCCGAGAGCTTCGTCGAGTTGGTATCGTTCTTCTCGTGGTTACTGGTTTCCCTGGAAAAACCAGAATTTGCCGGGAATTTAAAAAATTCAAAAAAAAAAAATCAAATTTCAAAAGAAAAATAGAAATAACTCACTTTTTGTCACTTTTACAGCAGTTTTCTTGTTCGCTGTTTTCTCTGAAAATACGTCTAATTTAAAATATCGGTATGCTAGACTACAAACTACAAACCAAACATTAGCATACCAATTTGAAACGAAGCGAAAATATGGGTCTGGTAGACTACAAACTACAAGCAGGACATTAGCAGACCCATATGAATATAACAACGAGGGGGAAAATGAGTATGCTAGGCTACAAACTACAATCTGAACATTAGCAGGCCCAACCTATAGGAAGGTACGTTTGACTACAACTACAATCTGAACATTAGCAGACCAAAATTGGCGGGAAATTCAAAATTTAAAAAAAAACTCACTTTTTGATATTTTCTTGACTGGCGTCTTTTTTGCAGCAGGTTTTTTGACTGTTTGCTCTAAAAGAGGATTTTTAAAGGAAAAAATAGCGGGAATCCAAATTTAAAAAAAAAACATTAAAAATTACTTTTTTTATCAATTGCTGCTTTTTGAACTGGTCCTTCTCGAATCGGAATAATGTTTCGGAGGGCGTCTTTGGCTGAAAATATTGATTTCTAAGCAAGAAACATTTTTCAAAAAAAAACATTTTTTTTTTAATTTTTCAATTTTCGTGTCATGACCCTTATACCTTCCTGCCTCAACCTGATTTGACGGGGAGTTGGTGCAAAAGGGTTGGTGATAGGTTGAGCAGGTCTTGGAGCAGTACGTGGGAGCTCCCCGAAAACTCGTGGATGTGGAATTTGAATTCTTTCCCGTGGATCACGATTCATCATTAGTCGCTGAATGAAGTCTCCAATTACAATGTCATCTTCTTCATCTGGAAATAATTTGAATTTTTTTTTGAAATTTTTAAAAATTCGGGGGTACGACGAATTCGAACGTTTTCAAAATCGAACAGACCTACAGTCGAACTGATTCAAAGCAGAACAGTGTCTTTCTCGAACAAGTATCAAAACAGAACAAGGACAGAATCGAACTGTTCTAATTCGAACTGTGCACTGTCGAACTGTCCCAAATTGGAACTCTGTTAGCCGACGAGCGCGCT